AAAAGTTAGAAGTTTGTTCTAACATAATTCTATTTCGGTTTTAGTTTAAGTTCTAAGCTAGATTCTAATTCAATTCTAAATTTGTTCAAATTCAGTTCCTCTTCAATTTTCTAGCTCAATCTAATGCAATTTTAATTCAATTCTAACTACGTAAATTCTATTTCAATACTAATTCAAACTCGAACCTGTTCTAGTTTTAATTTAATTGTTTTTGGCGCGCGTATTCCCTTTCATCTCCATTCCCAAAACCTGTTCCAAGTAAGAAACATTGAAATTGATTAAGGGTAACCAAGAAAAGGTGGTCTCAGTGTTTATTATGTTGCCCAACTTCTGCCATAAACAGTTTCATGATGTTTCATCCGGCAGGGCCACCACCAGACTGTGCCGCGGAGTTTTTCCGCTGCCAGGCACCAGGCGCAGAACTTGAAGGTCTTCCGGATTGATCAGCGAACGGATCTGGAGGCCAACGACGGATCTGGCGGGGGGCGAGCGAACTCCGCTCTCGATCGACCGATTTTGTTGGAACCTGCTTTGGGGTGAAACGAAAAGGGTTCCCGTCGATCATCTGTGGGATTTGGAGGCAGCTGCACCTGTGCTGCCCCTGGAGAATCTGGCGATCGGATCACAGGATGGATTTGGTCTGCATGAACAGGGGATTTGTTACTATTGTTACTTAGGATACTTAGTAGGCTTCCCCAGGCCCACTACCTACCTACATATAGTTACACTAGGACTCACAAAGGTGTGCCTACTGGAGGATAGGTGTGCTAGTTTTTAAGCCCAATCAACCAAAAATGATGGAATTCACCCATCAATCAAATTTTCACCCATCAGCACCTGGTCCACTTTTCAGCTGCGATTTGAGACTTGGAACGCGACCTGACGTAGAACCAAAGAGGAATGAAGACAGGGCCATTGAGTCATTGTTGTTCTGCTCCTAACCGATTCCATTGGTTCTGTTTTCTGACCGATAAGCAGCGCGAAAGGCTTTTCGCTGGCCCGAAATCGCTGGTGTGTTTTGTTCTTGACGAGGATTCGACCTTCATCCGACGGAGCAGCTGAGTGCGGCGGTTCCAGCATGGTGGCATTGAAACGGTCTCCGATCGACCGGGTATACAACTGAGACCTGGCACCGGCCCAGCATTCATGGCCTCCCAAGACGCAGTGAAGGTGGAAAAAGGACAAAGAGATGATATGGAGCTAAATTTGGGTGGAAGAGTTCGAAGCCATGACGACCTACGCTTGCCGATTCTGATAGACCCACCAGGCACTTGGGGGTTCCCCATAGACCCCAGCCAGAACTCCTTGGATTTCGTGGAACACGGTGAGACCGGATCCACGGGGACCCAGGGACTTCAGGACCTGACACTGGCGCAACACGTGTTTTTCACACATGGAACGAACACATCACCGTCATGTAGATGATGAATCAACTATCCCATTTGGACACATCCTTTTCATGTGGGGGGGTACTAATCAAGAGTCTACATGACCGGAGGTATGGATCCTTGGATCCATACCGATCGGTCCTTCTTCCGACGGCATGGCCGGGGGTTCGCGGACGTGGCGCGCACGCGGACTCGATGGGGACTTCGACAGGAGGGGGCCGTTACGGGGGGGAAGTTCTTCATATGGGTATACACCGAGAAAAAAGTGCGCGGGGCATATTTGTGCGCCAGAACGTCGGGGGTTTTTGAACGAACGTCGATCTCTGTTCGCCTCCTTCACGCCCATCATCACGTGCGATGGGGTTCACCAGGCGCACGATGGGGTTCACCAGGGTGGACCCCTTTGAGGCTTTTTTGACTCAGGACTGTGGGGAGGGGGGCAAAGAAGCGAAGATGTAGCCGCGACTCGACACTCTTTGTTTAAAGCCAATCTATATATGTTGTTCTTTGTGCTCGAAGAAATGTAGTCCCCCTCCCTGTAGCCACTCTTGTGAGTCCATTTTACGTGGAAACAGCTCCTTCATGTCATGGTGTGCGTCCAACATATGGCACCCAGGCGAACGTATGACCGGCTCAGAACTCCCAAAAACACCATCCTCCTAACCGGATGACACACCTGAACGCGAGGGTCAACGAGACCATCCCAATCGGGGCGCAGATAGAGACGTGCGCAGCGGCTGGTTCCAGTTCCACGGATGTGGAAAGCTGTTGGCCATTTTCAAAAGATGCAACAACCCAGGAGTTCCAAAAGGGCAGCGGTGGTTTTTTGATCCTATAAGTGAGTGGATGTGACAGGGGCACCCCAAGGCCCAAGACCTTCCATGGAATAGCACTGCGACATGGAACTGCTGGAGCCCCATTTATCACATGTTATAACATGTTCATGATCATACTCAAGGACTTGAAGGGATACTGGCTATTTATTGCACAAGATCCCAAAAGCAATGAAGAATTGGCGCAGCCGACCGTGCAGATCACCGTTCTCGGACCTCAAGACGGGCCTGGGTGACCTCGGAACTGGGTCATCCCGGGTCATCCTGAGGGGGGAGAAAAGGTGATTGGTTGATCTTCCAACCAAGTCATGTGCGGTCCTGGGCCATTGGGGGTTGTGCCGGATTCTTCGGTGAGGATCGGAGTGATGCATCAATTAGCGTATTAGCTATAAGGACTTCACTGCCAGCACCATCGAATGGCACTTCAGCAACACCGGATTTGGATCAGTTGGATCTTGAGGGACACCTGATTGGGAGCGACACAGAGGGTTCATGACTTGCAGAGTCATGCTGCCAGGCAGCGCGTCCGGATGTGTCGAGTGGAATCGACTTCCGACTCCCTTCCTCGAAAGCAGGAAGAGCAACTGCGTTGGGTTTCGACGACAATCCAGGTCCTATAAGAAACAATTATTGTAATTAGAGAAACCCGTCGTCGTCGTCGTCGTCGTCGTTGTTGTTGTTTCTTTGGAAACCGTTCCATGATTGAACATGGGAATGTTTGTGCGCATTGCTTGGGCAACAACCGTTTGCACTTCAGGGACCTATGGCCGTGGCCGAGGTGCTAGAACATTAAACCTTGAGTACGTATCAGTTTGTCCCTGGAAAATTGGGTACAAGATGATAGAAGTACCATGAAGTACCTGTTTTTTTGTCATATAAGGTCGTGTCCCATTCTCTATATAAAGGTACTGTACTTAAGTGTTTGTTCATAGAAGTAAAATATGTTTTTAATATAAGCTCATGTCCAATTCTTTTAAAGGTACTTGACGTCGGCTTCACGCGCGACTCGTGGTAGATACTGTACAACTAATAACGTGTTTTGACAGACTGCAGATCAGCAGATCCGCAGATCTGACGGCAGGATTTGAACATGATGATGGTTCCCAATCCTCCTGGAAGCTGACACATTGGGCGATTCAGCTGACACAGTTTAACAGTAACATGTTTCTTGTACCCATGTAAAGCCAGGGCGGCACGATGAGACTTTGATCACCTGGAATTTCCAGCCTGGAATATCCTGGATATCCTGCTAATCCAGCGACAGGAGAGAACTGGATAGAAAGAGTAGAACCGAACCATCCAAGATGTAGGCTCAGACAGATTAAGACCATCCCCTCTTGGATGGTCTTGGGTAGATGAGGTTCCGAGATGTCGTCGAAGAGTCGATCGAAATCCAACAGCCTTGAGACCTTTTTCAATCGAAACTGGGTGGGAATCACTGCCTGTGGAACAAGTGAAGGGCAGGCTTATGGGAGGCTTCATGAGGGAAGCATGCTCAGATGGAGAGCGGGTGTTCCTCAGTCCTTGCGTGGAGAGGTGGACAACCCTGTTGGCCCAGATGGGTCTTCTCGACTTCACAGAAGAGATTGGGATGAAGGGGAGGGGGCTGGTGGGAGGAGAGGACCCAACTCGCATGCCAAGCACCCTGTGGCACATGCCAAATCCACCACGAGTCTGGCAACTGATGTAGAAACGCCGAGCTGGATTACATTCCGAGTCAAACTCACATATGGAAGTGGAGTTCACCACCCGTTTGGTCTTCGGATTGCATGGTCCTTCGAACGCGGGGCCATGCCATCCACGGAAGCACCATGATGGATGATGTCGCGCTCCGAGCGGCATTGGCACCTGTTTGAAAGAGATTCTCCCACAACTTGGAACACGACCTTCACCCCTTCACCCGCCTTCACCCCTGCAGCAGTTTGCTGCAGCACGATTCTCGACATTCTCCGATTCTCCTTGGAAGGCTTGGGACCCACGTGGGTCCCGAAGCCTTCCGAGGGTGAAACTTCCGGGAGAATGTGTGAGCACGTAAGGATAGACCATAAGTGCTGAGACCTTATAGGCTAGTTTGCCGGCAAAGGCTAGGTTTCTATCCAACTTCACTCGTGGTTGGCCCCCGAAACGCCGGTGAATTCACGGGGCAGAATGTGCCACGAAGGGCTATATTCCGTCACATTTTTCTGCGGGTGGTATTTAGTCCCATGAGCACAGAGTATGATGTTCTGGGCACCCCGCGTTCCTCCAAGATTGGCACCTGGTTTTGTGACTCCTGGTTTGGTTGTTTGATATGGCTTCCGTCCCCTTGATCAACAAATGCTCGACACTAGTCGCCAGCCGTCCCCGGTCTCCGTGTCGAGGCCGCTTCGTCTCCGTTCGCGACCGGAGTCCTATCCGGTCACCGACACAACATTCGACTCCACAGGTCTCCGAAATGCCTTTGGCAGGACTTAAAAGTGGCAGGTGGTGACCTGTGAAGTTTAGTAGCTTTTAGTAATGGCCTCCAACCTAATAGCCAGGACTTACTATAGCTGGGTCACTTGGAAGAAATAGGTTCCTCGGCCACTCGGCTTGCGTCGGCTCGGCTCAAGCGTCGACGGTGCGGCGTTCGGCGCGGACGGTGGTTCCATCAGATTCTGCTCTGTTATAGTCCCATGTTTTCAGAGGCAACTCAAAAGTCCCTGGATTTGTTTGAGAATTGCCGGCCGATCTATATAATATATATAGTATGTGTACAGTATAGTCCAGATAGTCCAAGTATGTTCAATGTATAAGGAGTCTCCTCTTGTTCTTTCGCACCACCGGGCTCTTGGGTGCCATGGTGGCCTTGTCTCCGGACCGGCCTTGTCTCCGCCATCGATCGCCACGACTGGCTGGGACTGGCTGGAATAGAGTTATATGCCGCCCCCTTGACCCATTTTTCAAGCACCCCAATGTGGGTGAACGTTCCATATATATATATATCCGTTAAACAGTTGCGGATAGGCTCCAGACTCCAGACCTCCCGTTCGGATGGTCAAACGGAGGCCTGCCTGACACGGCTCGAACTGGTGCCAAAGGAAATCCGATTTGGAATGATGGGATGGCCCTGGAACCTCTGAACCAAACATCTATATACCAGGACCCTCCAAGGGGTGCCCAGTGGAAGCCTATAGGTAGTGTGGGGTAGTCCATTGGACACCCTGGAGGGTCCAGGTATAGTCTATAAGCCTAAGAATCCGGGCCTTCAAACACATAGGGTTTGGCTCGGGCCCACTCGGATTCTTAGGGAAGCTTCATGGGATTTCCTTATTACGCCGAAATAGCGAAGAGTCATGATTCTAACTAGGTGCCCCTGGTAACTGGCAGCTACATAAATGTAGGATTCGAAGGACACCTTTGTGGGCAAATGGCGCTTTGATCCGAATTATTCATCATCGAAGGCATGTTTACAGTAGGAGTGTTTTAGGGACAGAGCAGTGGACAGAGCCTTTCGGCTAGCTACCCTCCCTCAAACAAATAACATGTAAAAGCCAGAGACAAAGGGTCTTCCAATGTCTTCCGTGGGAGGGCATACACTTGAAATCATGTCAGGGAAGTGGATGACATGGCCCCCGAGTTCGGATGACCTATGAAAGCCTCATACCAAACCGTGGATGACCCTCTTCCACATCCACTTCATTCAGTTGAAAAGCCGAAGCCGAAGCCTTTCGCCCAGCGACTGACCATCAACTCTGGAGCCCCTGTTCCAACCCCGCCTATGGAGCACACGGTCGAGTCCCTTCCATGCAGATATTATAAATTCAAGACGTCATAGCTGCAGGAGCTGCAGCTAAACTAACAGGGGTCATTGACTTGGAAATTGGTTGGGCCCCCGTTCGCGATGGGCATCGGTGCCGCTGGCGGGAAAAGGTTGTCACCCTGAATTTGACAGGCCACATTAATACCTGCCCTGCCCTCAACTTGGGCGTGGATGAGGGCTAGCACATCACCAGCAATCCCTTCTGACTGAGAACCAAGGTTCAATTCCACCACGACCATCCTGACTACCCTACACTATAATCAATCACTATACTTAGAGATGTCCATTGGACACACCCAGACAGGATGCTCCAGGAAGGTCTATTTTAGTCGCCTTCGTGACGTACAAACCACCGGTTTGCATTAGGGCATAGTTGGGCTTTGAGAGTCTCTCAGCTGGGGTCGAAGTGAACCACCCCTCCTGTGGCACCGAAAGAGATTCAATTTGTTCCCATTGAGGGTTGTTAGATTTTATCAGAGTTTTTCTCCTCCTCCTCCTCCTCCTCGCCAGCAAGTTACAGTGGCAGATCGCAGTGGGCACTACCGGACTTCAACAGCAAGGAAAGATCGCACTGAGCACCACCGGGCCTCGACAGCAAGCGCCAGATCGCAGTGGGCAGGGCCGGAGCTCAACCGCAAGCGCCAGATCTCAATGGGCACGACCAGACCTCAGCAACGCACAACCACACAACATATCCACAAACACGTAATACACAATACACAACCAACAATGCACAAAACACAACGACAAACAGACAAACCACGAACACAATCACAAGCACACACCACTTCAAACACAAACACACAATCACAAACAGAACCACAAACACACAACAACAAACACAATCACACAGACAAACCTGCAACCACAACCACAACCTCAACCATAATTACAAACACACAGCTGCAAACAATCACAAACACGCAACGACAAACACAATCACACAGAAACATAATCGCTGCCAGAATCACAAACACACAGACACACAGCCACAAACACAAAAACACAACACAGAAACAAGCACAACCACAAACTAAACATACAACCACAACACACAACCACAACACACAGCACACAACCACAACACACAACCACAACACACTCAAACACAAGAGCCTGGCGAAGCCCCAACGCGAACTCCTCAACACTAAAGAGGAATCCCAAGCCCGAGGACCCACAAGCAAAACTCACGACCATGGCGACATGCTCCTCACCATGGCATGAAATCATATGATTGAAATGTCATGGTGGGGATCACACGAACTAAAGCAATGTTTTTTAATGTTTTTTTCCTCAACGTGTGTTTCTATAGATCCTCCAGCTTCTTCCAGCTTCTTTCAACTTGAACCCACCAAGACGTGGCTTCTGCGGCTTGGCCTCCCACCGCAGGACGATGTCGGAAGCGGAGCTGCCGCGTCGGAGGAGGAGCGCTGGATGTTGGGTCGGATCGGGTGGGTGGGCAGTCTCGAAGTGGATGGTTGTAATTTCGATTTTTGAAGAAGACTAATGTTGGAGTTTTCCGAGGCTTCAACTGTTGATTGAATACATTTAAGTTCTCAAACCAGTCTAATCCTGACATGCTAGAATGAGATGACAGCAAGATTTGATACGGCCACTTTTGGCACTCATGTGGTAGCAGCGGAGGATGACGATGATGTTAGCACGGTTTCCAGTGCCCTCGCAGCAGTTGACTATAGACACCAACCCGATTTGAAGCCAGCGTGTTTTCACCAACATCGGAGAGATGATGATGATGATGATGATGATGATGATGATGATGATGATGATGA